GTTTTAATATTCTAGAAAGTTGAAAGTATATTGCTAAATTTTTAGAGATTTTTTGAACTATTCTGAATAGATGACAAAAACGGATGGATTCTAGTGACCCATGTTTGGAGAGAGGCATGAAAATTATACCTTGTATTGTAATTTTAAACAGGGTTAATATTAAATCCTGACATAGGACCAATTTTAGAGAGAATTCAAACTCAATATATTTATTCATTTTTTATATTAGGTGTAGTAAAAAGAAATCCATTATTTTTGCATGAAATTGAATGGAAAAATAATGGATTTTGTTTTACTACACCTAATATTTAATAAATATACGTGAGAAGAAAGTAAAGTAAATTTATTTATTCTTCAAGTACAATACACATTAGCAAAATATATCAAGATTATTTCTTAATATAATCAATGCAATACATTTTATGTAACAGTTATCAAGTTTTTTTATTTCTATAAGAACGATTTGTCTATAAGAATTTGTCTACAAGAACGATTGGTTGTCCTCGGAGCGTATGCCTCGCTTCTTAAATTCTAAGACAATAAAAATTTGAACGTCTGCCACATCCAGCTTATAGTTCTTTGCTACTTTCGATTTTCATTTGTTTGAATTATTAAAGAAAGCCCTATGTACGACAGTGATAAATTTCAGTGATTTTTAATCTGTGTCATTTTACGTATTGGAAACAATGAAAACTGAGGATTGCGAATTAAAAATTAGAATTTGATTTATTAAATAATTTAACTTTAATCCATTTTTGATTGGCTAAATTCTAATCTTCAATTCGTAGTCCTCATACAGTTTCTAATGCTTAGTATGACACGAACTTTAGAGTTTAGAAAGCAGTGTATACGTGGCTTTGAGGGCAGTTAAAAAAATCTTGTGGATAGAATTATAAGATTTGTGGATTGTTACATAAAATGTATTACAAAATTGGATGATTATATTGAGAAATAATATTACACATATTTCATTATTGGATATGAGGGATAAATAAATTTTATATATATGTATATTTTTATATATATGTATATTTTATATATACGTATAGTTTTAAAATCTAAAAGAAATTTTTCACTGTTATGAACATATTGTTTTCTTTTCTACTTAACCTTTATTTGAGTTTCTATCTAATATCCTGAGTAACCATGTAACCTTTCAATGTTCTTTTGACAAACAGTTTTTCATTTATTGGATGTATGATATACATTTACAGGAAATATTGATCGAATTAAAATTACTCGACTTAGTAATTATTGTGAATGACATCCATTTCATTAATTTGACAAATTTAATATCCTTATCATCCTTAGAATACACGTGAGCGTTTATTATTCATTGCGAATTACTGTTGAGAATGATTCAAAAATAAGTCAAAACATTTGAAATTTGTAATTTACTTATAGTTTATATGAATAATAACTAAATATTGTTAATTGAATAATTATCCATTACAACGCTCAACTCTAATTTGCTCTATTATCAGTTATTGGTTATTACTTTATTATATTATTGTTTATCGGGTTTTTTCTATTTAAAAGTCATTTTGCAATTTTTCAAATCCTTGTTTACAAAAGAAACATGAATACGGGAATGTTAATATAAATATATATGTTATGTTAGCAGCGAACTAAAACTAAAACTTTCTTCTTTGCTTTTCTCACACTTCGAGTTATGTGTAGCTCTCCCTGTTCTAGTGAATGTGAACTTTATCATGGTTCAAAGATGAAACCACGAGAGAATGTTGCAACCTTTTTACAAGCCGGCAGGATGATTCGTTTAGCAGTCAAGCAAACGATTGTGCGCTCGTCGGGCGAGGATCTTTGAAGAGCGTTCTGGGAACTGGAATGCTTCATTTTCCAAAACATTTCGCGTCACTTTCGCACGAGTGTGTGTTAAAATGTATTAATTTGTATTCAACATCGTATTATATGTGTTTGTGAGTCTAGAAATGCGGCGAGATGTTATTAGCGCTATTTGTCACCACATTCTATTTTCATCGTTTATTATATGTATAATATATGTATAATAAGGATAGAATAATACAAATAGCGCTAACGTAGCGTCTCTCCGAACGCACCTTAGAATTCGCAATGTAATAAACCGCGGTCTTTAACATTCATGAAATCGAGAACGAACGTCGTCTCCTGTTAACCTTTTGTACGGATACAAAAGATAGAATTCTTTCGATTGTGGAAGAAGAGATTTGCGCGATGAATCGAATTGAATCGTTGAACCATATCTTTTATAGCAATGAAACTAAATTAGGAGATCAAAATTAACGAAAGAAAGAGAAGAGATACTCATAAATCAAGGGACTGTTACATGAGGATACAGTAATAAAGTCACCAGGTCAAACGTGTCATATCATGATTTAAGTGTAATACGCGTCATGTTACGTGAAAAATGTACACGTTATTTTTTCCTCTAAGATGAAAACGATATTTGTGAGAATGATTAACGTGAGCAACTGGTTCGTATAAATTAAGTATACATAATGTGTATAATTTGACAACACGGATATCTACCTTGTACGATAGCGTACGCTAATTGAAGACAGATTATAATAGTAGATTACCAGCGTATAAATATTGGATGAGTAGGTATATGTTAGTATTGTGCATGTTGTTTATTCGAACGCGAATCAATGCTCGCATGTATCGATTATACGGGGGCGTGCGACGGCTGACAATGCAGCCAGATAGTGGATGCTATCTCGTGATGAAAATAATTTAATGACATCGAGTTTCAAACCGGAGTTGTTCAGAGCTAACGAATGAAAGGATGAGCGAGTTATCGATAAATCGCAAGAACGTTTCTGCGCGGCGTAAAATCCATGGGCACGTGCTTCTGCGCGTCCTTCGGAAGTGTCCAATTAAATTTATCGAATAACTATATCTTCTACAGAGAAAAACATCCGTTAGTGTTTCAACGTTAATTTAGAACAGGAAATCTCTTTTTAACATCGCGAATAATCGATCGCATATTTAAAATATTATGTTCAGGAAGTTGTAATGTTTCATCTCTTAATATTGCTTTAATGAGGATTAGTGCTTAAAGTTTACGCGAGAATGATACAGTAATGAATCATCCCATATAATGATTAAGGTTCTTTAAGAGCGGCGATTGTTATATCAGGTAATTACAAAATGTTCAGTGTTCCGGAAATTAACAAGGTTATGCAATCTTATCAAATTTTAGTATTTCTTAGATAACATAATCGCGCCTGCGAATATATCTATACGTATGTTCTATATATGTACTATACAAGAATAATTTTTGTTATTATAAAAGATTAGATCAATGTATTAATTTAAAACTTATCTAATTTAATTTTTTTTTGCGTGACTAACTAGTAACTTTCTATTAAGTTATCTTAATTTTGGCAATACAATTTAAAGAATTTAAAAAAGATATACTAAGCTGATACGCATCTACTTATATAATTAATTAAGTCATATCGTGTATATTGTTACAATATGTTTACATGCATCGCTGAAATTAAGATAATTTAATAGAAAATTACTGTAATACGCATATTAAATGCTCGGTGTAAATAAGGTCCATCTAGACCAGACCTATCCAATTTGAGCTCCGGAGTCAAAACGTAAAGCCATTGACGCAAAAAAAAATGTGGATAATTCAATGTGGATAAGATTTCGAGGACTGTAAAGTGTTAATATATATCTACATGATACTTATCAATACTTTATAGCTTCTAAAATCTTACATTGAATTTTTTTACGTCGATAGCTTTGTATTTTGGTTCCAGAGTTTCGACAGGCCTGATCTAGACGATCTAGACCATTATTTTATAGGAAAAAATTAAATAAATAAAGAAATAGCCAATACGTCGAGTACGGTGTCGAGGTAAGAGCTTTAATTAGAGCCTAATAATATTTATATGTAATGTATTCTAAATATATCTTTCAGTTATACAATATGATAATTATATCATATTACATTAATTTTTTGAATTGTAATATAATTAATTATCCTATATAATTATTCTCGTTATATATTTAAAATAAATTAAATTTAGATAAAATTCTACATGATATTCATTATTTAAACTGTTAAATATATAGTGTCAAATTTAATCTAATGTGAGTCATCACTGTTCTTATTAAATATATCGTTATTTTATATTATACTAAAACGGTAATTAAATTTGGTGTCAATTTAACATTACATAGTGACATCACATAGTGTCAAATTGACACGATATAGTGTCAAATATAACCATTTTAGTATAAAATAACGATATAATTGAGTAGAATCAGCAGCGGTTTATTATAAATTATTTAGTTTTTTAGATCATTCTACTTAGATGAATTATTTTTTAAATCGTGTTATGTAAAAGCTAACATGAAATAAGGATGTAATTTAAAATCTGTATCATTATATCTTCTATATGTGCATCCATGCCCGGAAATGGAACATATCTTATCTCGGAAAATGAATGATATGATATAACAAAA